CCCCAAAGAATTTCACAGACATAATACTTTTAAAAAGGGTGTCTTACTGTTTAAGCACCTTACGATTGAAGTGTACACTTCCTATGGTATTTAATAACACTTACGCTCCCAGCAGCTCATTACAAATTGGAAGAGATGTTTTAAAGAGTATGCAGAACCATTAGCTAACCTCAACACAGTTTTAACTGTGGATCTGACAACAGCACGATTCACAAGCATGAAAAAAAAAACATAACTAATAAGCAAGATGATCAGAGGGATAAAAAATGTTGGATCACCACATAAGATGTGATATTTCTTAATACTAACTAGAAAAACCAGTGTATTAAAAGCAAGAGGGTCCTCCAAATGCGATACCAGAATGCCATTGGGTCAATATGCCCTTTTTCCTGGGTCAGTGTACCTCTGGATTTAGCTCACAGGCCATAGATTTAATGAGATATTTTCTAAGTGACCTCATATAAAAGTAATACAATATCATTTACGTCATTACACCTATTTATTTCAGCCTTGGGCAGCCCTCCCTGGACTGTTGCAAAGAGTGTTTCAGATGATCCCAGTCTACAGCAGACCACAAAAGCCTCTTGTTAAAACTAATAAAATATTTCAAACTGATGAAAAACAAATAGGAAAAATACAAGGACTTTTCTGAGGCAGATGAATGCAAATTTTACTTCATGTGTTGACTATAACATAGCTAGTTGAACTGTTTTTTTCAATCAAGAAAACACATGAAAATAAAGGTCACCCATGTTTTTGCAAATGCCCTTCCTCTTTTTTTTCCAAGCAACTCTGAATTCATCACAGCAGCCTTCTCTGATCTGCCCGATTGCAATACTGCACAAAGAACTTGTAGCAGTCAAGAGATTCCAATATCAGATGTTAGTCCTAATATTTTTGGATATCGGTTCTATTGGTGATGCAACTAATATCATCTATGCGGTCTACTCGAATGGGCTGTTGACAAAACTGCCACAATCTCATGAGCCTGAGCAACACTACTAAACATTCATTCCAAATTTATGAAGACTATATTATCCAGCATCGGAATAATAAAGTCTGGTCACATTGCCTGCTTATAACAGGATTCTCTTGAGAGTTATCATTTCCATTTAATATCATGATGGTAACTAAACTACACAACCAAACACACATTTACTCTAGCCCTGGCAGTTGTTCATATTGCTCCTCCCTGTAGCTAAAAGCATAGTGAAAGGGATTTTTTCCGATGAGCTTTTCTGAAACTTTCACAACTGAAGAGAATTTGTGATCACTCACAGAAGATTCAAACATTCTTGCCACCTTTGTCACCACACAGTAACTATGAGGGCCAGGAAAACATAGCCAACTGTCAGCCCACATGAAACAACATTAAATTAATGGCTCTTCCAAATTAAAAGCCTGAATTCTGCACTCAAGTCAATGACAGAGCTTTTATGCAGTCCAGGGTGAAAGGACTGCGCCTCTAATGTCTAGGTTGCAGTATTTTTTGTTTAATTTATCCCAAAACATCAAAGTTTCAAATAGTTTTTGGAAATGTTCAGATCATATCCCCATACTGCACATTTCTATGAGATTTGCAGCTAGACATATGACTCTGGACAGTTTCAACTTACTTTTATTACCAGTATAGTCACTGAAGTCCACAAATCCAACCAAATAGACTTGTTCAGAAGAAGGGAGGTCAGCACTATTTTTGTCCTTCACAATCCACTCATACAAGCACTTTGAACAGTAGGGGAGTGTCCCACCACAGCAGACAGTAGTGTGGAAGAAAACAGCTGTTATAGTAATAGAGCAAGTACTCCATTTGATGGTTAACGTAAATAGCTAGTCAGGACACTGGGCAAATGAGTGGAAAAGCAAAGACAGAAATCACCTTCCATGGGTCTTGTAACAGCTTGGACCCTTTTGCAAAAACTCTGTTAGCCAAACAGATTCACCCTTGCACTAAGAGAGGGCAGAAGAATTAAACTATTGCTAAATCATCTCATTCGATGAACATTCCACCTATTTTCCCCTGCATGCGCTGTCCTGTAGAGAATTCATGTGCTTGAAAACAGCTGAGGATGCACTGTCTGTATAGATCATATTCCCATCCAACATGCCTTGCATTGTGAAATCACACAGAGTCTGAATATAGGCAACAATAAGGCAGTTTCAAGTCAACAGATTTGCTCCTGTTCTTGCAAATTGCTGCTGTTTTTGCAAACATCTTTTGGTGGGGCAGTAAGAAAAAAGCCTCCATCCATATAATGGTAAATGGAGCTACAAATAAGCTTTATGGAACTGTGCTTCAGGTGGTGTCTTAATTTTATTAATTAAAAACTTTTAACCTTTTTTTTTTTCCAAGTGCAACCTTTTAATCTGTTCTGTGCATTCAAATATATTTATGTCACTAAATTAAAAAAAAATTAGGAATATAAATCACTAACTATTTTAAGATTACTGGAAGTTTGTAAGTTAGAAAACAAATAAACTGATGCAGCTTCACTGAAGCTGCAATAGTTTATGGAATACTTTATTTTAAGAAACAGTAATGCTTGTGAAGGAAATGTTTAAAAGCTCAATCAGCTATTAGTGAAAATCCAGTTGTGTTTAATCACATATATCACTACAACTAAAAAACCTGATCCCACAGTCCAAATGAATCAATGGAAATCTTATCATTGGCTTCACTGGGCTCTAAATCAGGGCACTAAATGAAAGGAAGATAAAACTGGTAGAAAATTCTCTAAATAACATTTCAATATATTAGGATAAATGAGAAGCTCAATTGAGCCAATTATGTGGAGGGTAAACTAATGTAAGTCTATACCTTCAGCCTCACAGTGACTAATCAACAAGATATTATCAAATATTATATTATAATAACATTAAGTATAAAACTTACATAATTATAGAAGTATATATTGTATTCAAATATTATATAATATCAAATATTATCAGGGCGTGTAGTGATAGGACAAGCAGCAACAGTTTAAATCTGAAGGAGGATAGGCTTAGACACTAGGAAGAAATTTTTCCCTGAAAGGGTGGCAAGGCAGTATCCCAGGTTGCCCAGAGAAGCTGTGGATGCCCCATCCCTGGAGGGGTTCAAGGCCAGGGTGGATGAGGCTTTGAGCAACCTGGGCTAGTGGAAGGTGACCCTGCCCATGGCAGGGGGGTGGGAATCCATTATATTTTTTGTTTGGAACTCAATTATATTTATGGTCCCTTCCAACCCAAACCATTCTATGATTCTATGAAATGCTAGCAAGATAAATGCTGTCTTCGCTGACACTACAGTTGTTAGTATTCTAGCGTTATTGTTTTATTCATAATTATTAATTCTGAAAGCTGGTGCTAGAAGTCTTGAAACTCAACTGTGAATGACTTGAAAGACTAGCTGTCTTAAATTTTTACAGTAAATTTAGCCTCCTGAATAATATCTCTTTGACAAAACTGAGAATTAAGTTCTCTGAAAATCCTGTATTTCAGTAAGCAAATTGACACTGAGGCTACTGTACAAGCTAATGTTACTAACTGCAAAATTTTGCAGTATAATTTACAAAATAATTCAGGTTCACTTCAAAAAGAAACCATGGTCGTATGGGAAAGTTCCAAACAACTAGTGTCTTAATGTTTAAAGATAAATTCAGTTCAATATTTTGAAACTAATTTCAATTCCAAGCTGTTAAGCCCATTAAAATAAATATAGTGATGGTTCTATATTGACAGAAATTGCTTTTTGGCTTGGCCCATGATAATAGGCAACCTCTAGGGAAAACAAAAAATATATCCATCATAATACAGTTTTGCTTTTATGCATGATTTTCTGCCATGGAGAAAACAAGTGACTACTAACACTACAAAATTTAAAAATTACTGGAAAGTATATTTAAAGATTATAATTTTTGTTACGCCTAGGCTGAGTTTTTTATGGCTTTATAAAATCCTTGAAGACTAACAACATAACTTCTTAAAAAACAACCTGAATATATGAAGAAATTTATAGAGAAAGTTAATAGAACAAATATATTTATAGTAATGCAGTATCAAGTTCTTAAAGAACAGCTACTGAAGATGACTCCTAAATTGCAACCACAGGTCTGAAGAACACTAATCATAGTGTTAAATAATTTTATGAGAGTTTCTCACACTTGTGCATCTCCAGTTTCAACAAAATGTCCATCCACTTACGTCAAATGTAAACAGCTGTATCTTTTCACCAATTTTATTTTAAGATGCCAGTTGTTGAATTTTATTTTTCTGAAAACAGGAAAGCAGTTTCTCTAATTTATGACCATATTTTAACTAGCAGAGATAGTGCTGATAATATGTGACGGCTACTCAGCCATTTTATCTAAAGCAGTGGTAATAATTAATTAACCACTCCTACTGGACCTATTTAGCCATAGCATCAGTCACGGAGACTTTGTTTCATAACTACAACACGCCAATATTATTGTACGTGGGTTTTAGAATCCATTAGGCTACTCAAATTATTTTTAAAATTCAGACAGGAAAAGAAGAGATTTTTTATGAAGTAATGTAATTTTTATATGAAGGAGGTAAAAACAAAAACACTGCAAATGTAGAAACATAAATAATTTGGATCTATGAATTTAAATGCAAGTCCTCCTGCAAATAAACTCATACCCTGCATTCTGCAATAACTTGCAGATGCGCTTAACCATGTATATTACACACTGAAGTCACAGCGAGCGCAGAGGGGGTGCAAAGCAGAGCATACACTTCAGTCTTTGTAGAATCAAGGCCTCTAGTAATAAATTCCCAACTACACGTGTTACTAAACTTGAAAAAAACCGGTATGTGAGGTTTCTGGTTGTTTCTAAAAGTACTTTTTCTTTGATAGTCTAGCATATATTGTGTATATGTATACATATATGTGGGTATATGTATATGTACATTAAGTTATCAAATTTTTAATCACTTATGAGAATAAGTCACCTTAGAAATATAATATGCTGTTCAAATACTGTATTTTTGCTACTCACCTGTCTGTTACGTTCATCCATAATCCTTGTAATCTGAATCTTTTTTCTCCCCATAGTCCCCGTTTTTTTTTCTCTCCTTCTTCCTTAAAGTTATGTATTTTTCCCTTCTCTTTTCTTCCTCTTACCCGCTTCCTCAAAACAAACCTCCTTCTTCAGCACTTGCACTACTCAGTTCACAGCCCCCTGCATCCGTTCCTGCTAAACACAGAAAGAAAATAAAATATTACTACAAACCTGGTAACTAGATGAATTGATAACTTGCTGACCAAACATCCTAATTATAATTTAGTGTATAAGTAAATAATGATAAAAATTTACTGCTTCTATATAATAAATAATGCATAGAGAAATAATAATCTAATTCAAAGGCCTCTTTTTATGAACTAACCCAACAATATATCAAGAAATGAAGAAAAAGACTGAAACACGCATTGCCAAAACTTTAATGGAATTAGGTGTCTCTATTTTTAAATATCACTCACTGCTCTAATATGAAAAATTACCTAAATCAGAGACTTAATGAACCTTTCTGTACCTATGTACGCAAAGTAGGCCTGCTAATTCATTTCTGAAGGGAAAACAATCTTCTGTTTTGACAGCAGAGGTGATAATGTCCCTCTTTATGCAAATAGGATGGACCTTTATTAAAGTTATTTGATATATGAGAGATGTCAGCTACTTTAAATCCAGAATTTTTAACCTTATTCTTTAAGAATATAGATTAGTGCAAGCATTACTCAAGATACTTGAAGTAAACCGTAGTGCGTTTTTCCTCATTTCATTTCAATGTAAATTCTAAAAAGTTCTGATGAATGATTTATAACGAGCAAACGTACATCTTTCCTTATAAAAATTCTTTCATCAAAAGACAACTTACATAGCACAGAATAATAGGGACAGATGACAATTTAAGACGTTTTGAAAAATATTTTCACAGTTTTAGTAATGCACTAACTCCCGAACTTTACAATACTGGCTCTATTGCAGTACTTGGACAGTTATATGCAATGTATAAAAATACATAAAGCAGTACACTTTCCATATTTTACAAAATGTCATAAATCACAAAATTAATTTTCATCAAAGTATTTTTAGCAATAAAAGACATGATAGAAATATAAGAAAAAACAGAAATTATGTTCAGTCTAGTACTAAAGTAAAAAATGCAATTTTTTTTCATTTTTAACCTTCATTTACCGTATTTTTATATTTACATATTTTGAACAGAACAGCACAGAGTTCTTTTAAATACAGAAGAGAAAAAAGGAATTGAACAAGACTAATTTAAAATAATTTTTTTAAGTTTTCATGTTAGATCCATAGTGTATTAAAAATCTTGCCTTCAAAATAAAAACTCAGTAATTTTAAAACAGAGGCTGGTGTTTCCTTACTTATTTTAAGCTTGTAGTCTCGCAGCCAACCTGGTAAATTCTCACAATATGTTATGTAACACTAAGCCGATGTCCTGGCCATTTAATCCATTGTTTGGCTCTGATTCAAAGCTACTGAGGTAGAAAAGCTAGACCTCACTCATTCTGATCTTCAATTCTCTCTTGATTTTCTTTGCATACATTACACTTTAAGCTGCTCAAGTGTTTTATAGCTCTAAGAAAAAAATAAGTTAACAAACAAGCAGTCATTCTGAGTTTTCTAACTGGCCACTATGACATAATTAATCTGCTGGGCAAAACACATTTTCAAGTATAACACATTACCTTTCTGTACATGAATGCCTTTTTATATTATTTGATAGGCATATTTATATATGCCTAAATCATTACCATAAAGCATAACACGGAACAATTCATATTGCCAATATAATAAAGTATAAAGGCTGCAAAAAATTTTTGCTGCTTTTTACTTGTTGGAAAACAGTTCAGCTTATCACTGCTTAAAAAGACACAAAGGTGCTTGATCACATTTACAGGAAAAAATAAATGTAAAAAACTTTGAAATAAATTAAGTTGATTAAACAGTTTTATAAAACTTTTTTCCAAACAAAGCTAGGAGACAGTTTTATCTGATATTCAGTGTTGACAAACAAACCCAGTCTATTTTTAGAAGCAGTTTTAAATTTCCTCAGACTGGGTTTCTTTCCTGTTTTTCCTATAGTCTTACCTCTGATACAAAGAGCAAGTTAGAATGGTGTTTCCCATGCACATGCAGGACCCAAAGGAGTCTAAAAGGCTTTCTCTGTAACAGTAAGCCAATGCGCTAATCCACAGCAAATGCATATGGAACAATTTCCTTTCCTTTCATTCAGCTGAAGCCAGTGGCACTATCGGCTTACAGCACTACGCCTGCCCTAAGCTCTTATTCACTGCAAGGTGGAAGGTCAGGGTGGACTGATTAGAGCAGTGGTGACAGGTTAGCAAGGATGAGAGCTGCTCTGCAGATCAAGATGCTGATGCTGGGTGAGTTCAGAAAAATCACTGAATACTCAGAAAATCTACCAGGAAGGACAAAAATCTTAGTGGAGGAGCAATATGTTGCGTCCCTCCCACACACACTTATTAGTTCCACATTTAAGACCAGTCTACAAACAAGAAAAAACTTTTATAGACAGCTTAAAGTCAGAAAACTTAAAATTCCTATAATCTACACAAAATTATCTTAAAGTAATTAATGAAACACTCGATGAGCAGAATTTTGGTCTTCATTACCTGTAGTAATCCACTAAGTACACTAGTTTTAAGAGGAAAAATGTGAAGGAAAATAAAATTGAAGGGGACCCAGGATGATTTTGTTATTAAATATTATCATACAATCTGAGAGAATCTGAAGGAGAAGACACAATGTGTTAGGTCGTATGTATCCAACATACAATTTGCAAAGAAACACAATTTTGCCTCAACAGGCAGATGGCTAAGTTTCTTGCAATGATGAAAAAACTATCTCTCCTGTTTGTTTTTTGCTTACTAGTCTAATTCCAAATAAAAGCTTTTCAGTTTTTCTAGCAAATTTATTTCCTTTAAAAAAAATTACCCTAATTTTACTGCTACTGTAAGGAAATTGGGAATGCTCTGGTATTCTCTATATCTGTCTTACTCTTTTACACATACCTATATCAACAAATACTGCTTCACATGCAATTCTTACTATGTGATTGCCTATAGTTCTATTAATTTCATTAGTATATACATTTGCACATGCACATATATAAAGCAGATAGCTGGATTGATTCCAGATCAATTAGATTCAGATGGGTAAATCAAGAAATCTGATTCAAGGGCTATAACCTTCAAAGGCTGGTGACGTCTGAGTCAAACAGAATGTAAAGAACTCCGGAGACCAACAAATCCCCAAGGCTCCTTTAGGACTTCACCAGCATTCTCAATACTTTTTGAAAGTTCTTGCAGGATTGAGGATTACATATTAAGTATTTAAAGTTCCTCTTAACTGATAAAATTGTATTTCCCTAACACTAATAAAGCACACTACCTAGAAAAGTTGAAGGTACTACAAAACTCAAATAGTACTGCAGGCTTTCATTATCCAAGTGAATCTAAAAAGAAATTCAAAGTAATTCCAGAAGCTTTGTTGAAGTAATTCTCCACATAAAAGAAACATTCCGACGTAATGACATGGTTACATGCAAACAAATTGCACTTAAAGAAACACATAGTTATATGCTATGGTGTTACAGTCTTCAGTGTTGTGGGTTTTTTTTTTGTTTTTTGTTTTTTTTTTTTGTTTTTTTGTTTTTTTTCTGCAAGCCCAAACATAAAAAAAAAAAAAAAATCAGACTGCTTACAAAAAGAGGAACTTCATTTTTGGCAGGCTTCTGTTCACTATATGATTTCACAGAGGCAGCGGTAGCTGACAGAAGGTTGATCTGAGCCTTGAGGAAGGAAAAGAGCTAATGGACAAATACAGCAGCTCACTTGACTGCTCCTGTCTCTCTTTTGTACATGCTCACACAGATATACACACATGCGCACACATACACACACACACGCACACATACACACGCACACTCGCTATCCCTTCTCTGCAGCACAGAAGAATCTTGATAGAATGGCAGGAAACACGCACAGAATGGTCAGGGAAGGATATGATGTCAGCAACCACAAACAATAAAAGGTGTAAAGGTGCTTCCTTCCCTAAACTGTTCCAGAAGTGCAAAATGGGAACCAAAACTCTCCACTTCCTTCTCTGAGCAGAACTGTCTGAATCTGCTCTGCTGCAACACCCCAGACAGAGAGTTCTTTGAACAGTCACAACAGATGCAATAAGGAGTATCCAAACAGGAGAGTCAAAATATTTAATTTATAAACAAGAAGGCAGCCAGAGAAAAACTAAGTTAAAATGTGCTAGGGTTGAGCATTTTCATGGTTGCTTTACAAAAGAAACAAACTTGCCATAAAGATGTCCCTGTTCCATTAAGCGGCTTGCATTCTGAGTGGATTAATTAAATTAAAACTAAAGAAACAAACAAATTTTTTTTCTATTATCCTGATGTAAGGAAGCAAACAAAAAAAAAAAGCAGTCCCTATTCTCTTACCTTTCATATCTTGATAAATAAAAGTAACTCCAAAGACCTATGTAATCTTTTTATGCAAGCCTTTCTGTTTACTCAAAAGAGTTTTGAATCAGAATCTAAATAAAAATCTTAAGGTACTGAGCAAGAATACATCAGCTACTTTCTGATGAAAAATTAGCTGCAAAACCTGCAGCATAACAGTGAAAATCCACAGTGAGGAACACATATTCAAATAAAATGGTCACTGAAATATTTTCTGTAAAAGCGCTATCTGACTATGTTCCACGTACAAAGACAGACACACATTGAAGAAACAGCTGGGCATACTGCATCCAGCAACAACACCCCTCATTTTGGGTCTGTCACCTTGAGCTGGATAAAGTTGAAAGAAATAGAGAAAAGGGTGAAAGTAATTACCATCTTTCATGTTATCTGACTGAAATCAGCTGACATTAAAGAGAGACAGGGTACCCCACATTCAATGTGATTTGGCTGCATGGTCATTACAGAAGACGCAGTTCGGGCTATTAACGGAAAGGTTATGATAAAATTCTGTATGTCATCACCACAG